ATTAATCAGTTTTCTAGAGATTAAGAACAAAGTAAAATCCCAATCGGATTTCTGAACTGCCTTGAAACTACAGAAGACGTCCTCTACAACTGCAAACTCAGAGCATAAACTTTCAATTACATCCAATGGCATTAGTGCCCAGCAAATGTTGGCTTGAAGAGTAGGAAAGTTGATCGGAATATTAGGATCCCAAAATAGAAGGTTGCGATTACATCTTTTAGATGCTTCTCATAACAAGCAATAAGATAAGTTGGCAGCCATGGCTAACAATTCTCCATGACAATGACCCGTGAAATTTGGACTACTAGCCCCAAGTGACTGGTTGATTATAATTGATATTCTATACTAACCTTATTGCAAAAAGAACAGGCTATGACAGCTTATATTTCAGGAGAACGACTTTTTGGGATCTCTTTGAACATAGTAATGAGCTCTCCTCCCCCCTTTTTTCTTGATGATGGAAAAGTAATCAAGGAAAATCATATTACACTTCTATATGCAAACTCAAAACTCATTTGTCTCATCCTCTTTATAAGGTGCCTCCACCTTGTGTTGAGCCTTTAACATCCATGCGGAAATCACTTTGGCCCTAAGGAAACCAAGAAAAGGCCGAGGTTGAATACCACACTGGCTTGCCATCGAAAAGGGGAGCAAGTTGGCACCAATCAAGCACCTAAGTCCTAGCCTAACATAAATGTTAGACCCAATTGGGGGACTATTGTTACACCTCCACAACATGTGGAGCCTTACCACCAACCCACGTGGAGGCCTATACGAAATGACCATGTAGAATCCATGTGGGCACCTAGAAGAGGCAAACACATCACCCCAGCACAAGCCAAAGAGTATACTTTGCCCCTAGCGCACCACCTGCAAATAAAAGTGATAACACACCAGCTGAGCCAAGGCAAATGCCTTGACCCTTCTAATGCCCCGTCCGGTGCAAGGCACATGCACAAACCGCTTCATCATCACCATAGTGGGCGATGCAAGGGTCGCTATCTAAAGCATAGGCAATCCTGTCAAAGTCTGGAGAGGGAAAAGAGTACGTCTTCTGACATAGGGCAGAGAGCCAAAGATATACTGCCACAACGTCAGATGACAGTTACCGCGCATCAAGATTGCACCCTCATATGGTATGTGTCAGTCCATCCCATCAAGCGGTCACTTGTCAAGTCACATAAAAAAGGAAAGACAAATCACTAGAATCACTAGATTACACAAAGTGAGAAAAGGCAACTGGCGCCTTTTTTCAGTTGCCATTTCGAGAAAGCTGCAGGAGAAACATATGGAAGTGGCTTCCATCATAGACTCAATTCGGGGAAGGATAGTGATGGGTCGGCTACCTATCCGCTGGCTGCAGATTGGTGGTAAAAGACCCACCCAAGGAGTTGAGAATCCTTCTCATGAATCCTTCCCCCTAAATACACTTTAGAATAGCAATGTAGGGTATGTGAAATCCAGTCAAAACTCTGTCAAATTGTCTTCCCACCAACTTCCATATTTTATCTTGATTCGGAGCGAAAACAATTGTTGAACCACCTCTCAGGGGAGCAATCTTGCATTCTTACGAGTTGTCCTAGTGTGCAGGTATTATATGTTGACAAAGAGAGGTGGCATGGGTTTGTTGACAGCAGATAAGTCAGATCGAGGTCAACAAAGTAGTTACATTAGAAAATTAACACAATTAGATGTAGGATTATTCTTTCCCGTTCAGAAATCAGAAGTAGTTAACAGTTTAAGAGTTCTAATCAAAAGATGTCGATAATGATCATCACTACAACACGATCTATTCTTCACAGTGGAAGAAAATATTAAATGAAACACAAATATCAGTGACATTACTAAAGCATATTAATCAGGTAAAAAAATAAGAGAAAAAAAAGGGCTGGAGACATGTTATTTGTAACTATTAAGGTCAAACACCATTCAAAGAAAGCCAAGCATCTCCCAAGTTATTTTGATCTCTTTCCCTCCTTTTTCTTTATAACTTCATCAATGTACATTATACCTTTTCCTTTGTAAACTTCAGGAGGCTTGCAATTACGGACAGCAGCGGCAAATTGATGCACCCTTTCCTTGTCAATCCCAGTGCAGCAGACTACGTTGTTTTTGAAGCAGAACACACGAACTGCTGGAGGTACAGTAAGTTCGACCTCATGGCTATAACCAAGTTTAAGGTACAAGAGACGACCTTCTGCTTCTGCTCTGGCTTTGAAACCAACTCCCACAATCTTAAGAAAGCGAAAGAATTTGGCTTCCATTGTAGGACAAAAACCAATCAACTGATTCAGGCAACAACTACATTAGGTCAACAACGTGCATAAACAAATAATAAAAGGAAATAAGAAACGACGAAATACAAGTCAATAATATTGTGAGTTCTCAATCAGAAAGCGGTTTGGGGAGATTAAAAATGAATTATTTGACTTAAGTGCAGCACCCTATATGATAAAATGACACGTGTGATAAATTCAATGCACAGGCATGCACGCATCAAGGGAAAAGTGAAAAACAAGATAGGATTAGATTATCATCACATAGATTTAAACAGAGAAATTCAGGTGTTTATTAAATGTCTTTTTGGGTCTTAAGCCTAAACAATGTTAAAAAATTGCACCAAATAGGATTCTTGTAAACCTATATCTAATCGCATATGTCCACTAACAAACAAAGATGTGCAAGATGAAGCGAATATGGATAAGACACGCCCCGAGGTGCCTTAACAACGGAATTCCTCAAAATGGCATCTATAAAAAGCAAATGAATACGAGCTTCTCTATTTCTGTTCAGTGCTCACCTTCAGAAACCCACTCCACCCTAAGAAAAAAAAATGAAATAAAACAAAATAATCTTCACCTCAAGCTCTAAGACACGGAAAAGGAAAAAGATCTTGGATAAAACAATAATCACATCTCTTAGTAACACTAAGAATCCTATTATAATCTTCTCTTCATCAACTAGGATCAACAAATTAGAGTAAATGCAACAGTGGAAAATCATATTTATCTACACAAGTAGATTGCATGCCCAGGCCCATTAAGAAATATACTCACCTCTGAGACGGCCGACCCCCAGGCCAATCTGCAGGAGAGAGAGGCAGCACGGAAAAGGCAAAAATAATTTACTAAAGTGACCGGTTGATATCGATTTATTTTTTCTGTGAAAAAACTTAGGGTGCGTTTGATTGCAAGGGTGGAATTTGGGTGGAAAGAAAATGAATTCCAGGGAATTGAATTGTCTGAAATTTATTTTACTGGGAATTGCCAATTAACTGTGTTTGATTGGTATAATTTTCCACCTGAAAAATATTGAAATTTTGGATCTTTTGGTATTCGTTTAACTTTATTTTTCATTGAAATTGTCTATTAAAGGGATATAATTTGTTGCAATTGAGTATATACTTTGTTTGAATTGCAAAAAAAAAAACTTTAAAATTGACAAAATTATAAAAGGCCCTTCTAATACAAAACTGAGGCCAGTTTCCTAATCTCCTCCTTGGCTCCGTCTCTCCTGCTCTCCTCCTTGGCTCCTCCGTCTTCTCCTGGCAACAAAACCAGCGCCACCAGGAGGGGCAGCAACTGCTACTGCAGCA